GTGTACAGGGAGGTTATCAAGGAGACAGAGCCCGGTGGTGCGTGGGGGAGGATGAGAGTTCAATGACGCCCTGTGCCTAGGTGGTTCCATCTGGGTACAAGGAAGCTTTTTTCACTGTGAGGAAAATTAAGGTAGGGAAGGGCCAGGGGCCCAGACGATTTTTGGATCTTCCATCGTTGGAGGTTTTGAAAGACTTGACTAGACAAAGGCCTGAGCAATCTGGTCCGACTTCATAGCTGACCCTGCTTTGAGCAAGAGGTTGGACTAGAGATCTCCCAAGGATCCTTCCGACCTGGATTAGAAGGATATTACTTCATTGTCCCTTTTGACTGAAAAATCCATGGATCTAGGTTGCTTTTTTTTTTTTTAAAGAGATTGAAGTAATTGAATTTTGTTTCAGAAATCATAACTAACTCTTGAATGACTTCTCATATGTTTTCCTGCTTTTGTCTTTAGAGGGGCTGCTGAATGAGGATGTTGCATTTGAAAACATGCTGCAGAGCCTGTATTTCACATTTTTCTGTCTTTTTTGCAATGTTATAATTTTGTGGAGTATTTCTTACCTTTTGGCTAATAGTGCTTGACAGGCTTTTTATACCTTTCACTAATTTTCATCTAGTCAGTACGTTAATGAGAGCAATGGCCTATGTATTTCCAATCTGTTATATTGCAGTTGCTCTGCTCTGGATATTGTAAGAATTTATGCCCCCTGAATCTTATTTGCAAGACAACTTTGTAGTTGTTTTCCATCTTAGCCATCCTGTAACCGTTCACATACTGCAACAGTAGAATATCTTTGTAATATATTCTAATTTACAAAGGCTTTTTCCCCCTAGTTACCCAACTATTCTGTTAATAATTAGTACACCCCCCGATCTTTGGCTTGGGGCTTTTTTTTTTTTTTTGTGATAACTTCCATCATACTCTGAGCGGGCTGAATTCCTGTATACTGGAGTCCTTTTGTACTAATCCATGTTCACTCTGTGTGGTCTTTAGGCTTCTGGTATGCCAGGAAACAGTGAAAGATTGCTACTTATTTTTTTTCTTCAAACTTCTATTTTTGATCTTATATCAGCCTGGTTTGGACACTGGAAGATCTAGGTCATGCAGATTTGGTGATTATTTTTTTTTTTTAATATTCAGAAAGTCTTGAAGTTGCGTATGTTTCATCTTAATAGAGACATTCAGTATAGTGCTAAATTTGTGACTTTTTTTGCCAGCTGTATGAAACAGGGTTAACATTGATTAGAAAAAGGGATAATTGTCAGTCTCCAAAGAGACATTTGCTTAAGTTTTCACTCTTAGTTCCAGTAACAATTTTTAAATTAATTTGTTCTCCATTTCCAGTGTCACAAATGAATCTCTTGTGCAGTCTTGCTTTGTAAATTTGGCTGTTGGACTTACAAGTGGAAGTACCCACTTCACAAAATACTGAACTGAAAATTATATGCATCATGTTAGATACAGTGTTTTCAGTCTTACCAGTTCTTGATTACATCATGTTGCCATATTTACATCATATTAACTGTAGTCCTAGCAGAGATAAGAGAAAACTTGGACTGCTCACTAGTTTTCTAAAAGCTTTGCTAGCATAAGTGGGAAGTGCATCTGTTCTGCGCTTTTAGGTGCTTGTTCCTGAAGATGGCCTCATCTCTGAATAGCAGCTGAACAACCAGTGTCTGTCTATTTGCTTCAGCAGTGCGGGTCTACCTTTGTATTTCAGTGATGCAATGGCAGTTAAGTCTATTAGACTGGTTATGGAAACACCGGTATTCTCTGCTGGCAAAACTGTTTGTGCTACTATAGTAAAGACATTCATGAGCAACGCAGTCTGTCAAGGGAAAATACAGACTTGTTGGTGTATCTGTCCTTCAGCTAGCAGTATTTCATTGACACAATCCAGTTGGTAAGGGGTTAATGGTGAGGAGTAAGTGGCTGTTACCTAACAATTAACAAGAAGGTGTTGCTAGTCAGAGTAGACATGGTGGCTTACTTGGATTCTGCTTGTTTCTTTTTTTTTGCAGATATAAAATCTTAATTCTTGCATGGGAATACTGTAATTCTGCATCTGTTTTTTGTGACCTCCACTGATGACTTTTGACTAGTTTGAATATCACATCAAAATACTTTATTCAAGTCCAGCTTAACTGGATCTTAAGAAGTAGGATGTACTACTCTTGTTGTCTTGCTGTTTGCTGAATGGAAATTTGTGCACAGATCTGATAATAGTCTCTCAGCACTGTGAGGTTTTGGAGTTTTTTGGTTACCTTTTTTTTAAAAAAAGAAAAAGCTGGGGGACAAAAAATACTGTTTAACTGATATAAAAAAGTAGCATACAAAGCAAGGTATTTTGGAACATTATATTTAGTAGATGTCTCCCTGAAGCAAAGTTAATTGGATGGGAAGAATTGTAGATTGTCACAACAGCCTAATTCTGAGACTTGGTCTGCACTTGGCTTCACTGGCATGCTTGTAGGTTCTGATTATTTTCAGTAAGGTAGTTACGCTAGTAAAAGGCCTGTTATGCAGTTTGTTCTGTTAAATCGCGATAAACTGCATGGATACAACTACTGTGCCAAAGAAGTGTTATGTTGTTTTGATTTTGATGGCCTAGCTAAGAAAGTAAAACTTAACTGTAGGTGAAACTGAAGTCAATGTTCACAGCTACCAGTTTGCCCTGCAGATAGTTAGCTTTTAAATCTCCATTGTGTCAATAAACACTTCCCATATAGATTGCAGTGCAACATATAGCATGATTTTATTCTAGTTTATTTATTCTAAAAACTTAATTTTTTTTTTTAAAAGTGTGCATATCTATTTTGAGACTGCCTGCAATCTGTAGGCAGAAGTGCTAAAAGTTTGGACTATAGATGTTCTGTTCCCTTTGTTATTTTCCAACTTGTAGACTCTAGTAGCTCAACACAATGTCTTGCCTGGAATTTCCTTGCATTCTAAAATTAGGAGAAGGATCTAGGAAACAATAGCAAATGAAGTCTCTAAACCTCCTGCTCTGGCTTGAACCTTTGTTGTCATTTAGACTTTCACCTACTTCCTTTCTTATTAAACTGATTTGCATTAGAAAAAAATTAAAAAGAACTTACGCTGTTCAGTGTCAAGAGGACTTTTTTTTTTCCCCCTTCTTTTTTTACTTATTATGGTCTCCTGTACTACTTTAGGACATCAAGAGTATGAATTTCATATCACTGCTGTTCATCCCAGAGCACTTCTCCTTTTCAGTATGGTGAGTGATGTGGAAGTACGACAACCTCAGTGTAGCAAAGGCCGTGCCGTGTTTTGCAGTCCCTCAAACATGCATTTGCACCCAGCAGTGCTTCCTGACTGAGACATCTCTATGGGAAATTGCAGAAGTTTTGATCTACAGCAGAGAAACTTCTCAAGTTATATTATTAGACCTCATCATCATCCCTTCTAGTGGGGCAAGCAGCTCTCTTTATGGTCTGCGTATTTTTTCACGGTTATGTTGTGCATCACCTTTTCCTTACCCCTCCATTGTCTGGTCTGTATTACTGTTCTTTGCAATGTTATGAGTGGCAGTTGTGGGTGTCCCACCACCCCAAACCTGAACAAATCTCAATACCCCACAGCTATTCCTGGGGAGGTCTGTTTCAGCAACCTTTTATGCAGATGGATTACTGGAAAGGCCACTGAGAAAGAAGGTTCAGACCTCAAATTCTTGTTTGATCCTTCTCAGTGTGGTCTGTGTAAGCAGCCCTGACTCTCTGGACGTGTTTTCTGATCTGTAAGTAATCCTGCGATTACATCTTCTGTTGCTTACTGTAACTCTCTCTCTGCCTCTGGAGTAGGACAGACAGGATGGATTAGAAGTGGCTTCTGTGTGTTACTTCATAGACCTGAGTTTGTTCCTAGCTTCACTGCTACTTTCTTTTGCATCATGGGTTGAGTTATTAGCTTCTTAAGGTTTGGCCATCTAAAACTCATAAACTGTTAGAGGTGACTTAGAGTACTTGTCTGTACTGTGGCAGAACCCAAACACATAATCAGAGACACAGTGTTACTATGTGTGTGTGCAACAGTCTCTGCCTTTATATGTTTGTGGGTTATGGGTAAACTTCTTAAAACTGTCTATTTTCTGCCGTGGCCCAATATTGTTTGATTGTTATTCCCAGGCACTCTGAAATGATCCAGGAAATGCAGCAACCACCACAGTCCAGTATCCTATGTCCGACAATAGTTAAGAAGCAGCTGCAAGATTTGTTCTGTTCATAATTATAGTATGCTGTGCTTAGTAAACTTACTGAGAGGCTGTTGATGTCTAGGAAGAGTATGATTGATGAATCTTGTAATTTACCATTTATAGCTAATATAATTGACTTCTGAGAACAAGGGTAGGTGTGAAGAAGTTGGATGTTGTTAGACTAGGAGAACTCTAGAGGTCCTTTCCAGTCAACATTTCTATGACTGTGGTGTTTCTAGAAAGGAATTTTCTTTCCTTCTCTAATTCTTTGTTACTTGGGCCCTACAGATAGTTTGCCTGCTCCTTTTCTTTTCTGGTACAAGTGGCACAAACGCTTTCCCTGTTGGTGTAGGGACCTGTCACTGATGTCCTGACAAAATGTACTGTACAGCAGATGTGTATGACAGCAGGGACAGGACTTTGGTCTGGAAGTCCCCTTATGTTTCTCCTTTGTTGGCTTCTCTGGACCAGATTCATAAACACTGTCGTGTCTGCTGGCAAGCTGCTTTATAGTGACTTCCTCGTTGTGCTAGTATTTGAATGCCTAAGATGAACTGTTATCTTAGGAAACAAGGAACAGCTGTTTTGTATCCTACAAGGGAGGGAGAAGAGCAGTGGGATGATAGAGATGTTAAATGAATCATCAAGCTAAACTCATTAAATGCCTTTCTTCTTTCACCCTCGCCTCTTGTAGACCTTAGTTGGTGTTCTCATCTGTGCAGCAACTGCACCTTGAGGACCTCACCAGGGCTGAGGTTATGAGAAAAGGCAGTTCTCTTCAGAGATGGATGCTCAGGTTTGCCCTGAGGTGAGAAGACAGGTTTCCCACAGAACTGCTGCTGATCCAGTTTTGTTCTCTCCTGTCATAGCCTTTCTTTAGGCTTCTGAACCTGCGCAAGCTGGGTCTGAGTGACAATGAAATCCAGAGACTTCCCCCTGAGGTTGCCAACTTCATGCAACTGGTGGAACTGGACATCTCCCGTAACGGTAAGGTCAAAGCTAAATGGGGAGTGGGTACCCCACAGCCCTGCTTCTCTCAGTGTAGTAGTACTACTACTCTGTGCACTCATGTTCTGGAAGAGGCAGTACCCTTTCACAGTCCCACAGAGTGATCTCTTGTGGGTCCTGAGCTATGAAAATATGGTTGTCTTACTGTGTCTTTGGCTGTTACCAGTACCTGGTGTCCCATTTTCCATGATAGGCTCTTCTCAAGCCTCTTTTTTCTTTCACATATTTTTTCCAGACATTCCAGAAATTCCTGAAAGCATCAAATTCTGCAAATCCTTGGAAATCGCAGACTTCAGTGGGAATCCTCTCTCCAGGTAGGAAGGCATATGCAACCCTTTTGTCCAGCTGAGAATGAGAGTTGAAGTTCCTCATTCTCCCTAGCTTTCTCTGGTCTTCATCTTGTAATTGTCTTCCCTTGAAGTCAAGGCATAGGATCACCCTGCCTTTGCCAAGACCTGCAGATGTCTGCTCTCCTGGCAGGTGGAACACTCAGCATAGGGAGGAGCTGGTGTGTGCTCCCTCTTCTGCGGGGCCTATGGCTTGGATTGATGAGCCTTTAGTCATACTGTTGCCACTGGTGTGAATGGTGAGGCCTTTTGTCCTTTTGGAATAAGTTTGTTACTCTCTCCTCATCCCTTCACCCTGGTGCACAAACCAGAATGGATGTGGACTCGTTGTAGTAGAGGGGTAGAGAAAGGCCTGCATGCTATCTTTTGCTCTCTGTTAGTCCTTTTTGCTCTCTGTCTTCTTATTTATAACTTAGGATGGCTGTCCTTTGAACTCTGTGTTTCGGTGGTTTCCCCAATATCTCAGTGCCCAGAGCTATGTCCAAGAACAGGGCTCTCTGCCTTGTCTCTTCAGTCTTCTGTCTCTACAGCTCTTAATCCATGATGTTTTGGCAATTTAAGTGTGGGTCCTCTGCCTTGGTGAACCATGCTTTCAGGCAGGGGTGTCTTGATGCATTGTCTGCCAGGGTCCCTGTAGATGCCAGTTTGACTCCAGGTGCCTGCTGCCCTTTGTGCTCCTGGGCAAGCGCTGCCCAAGTCGCCCTTTAAATAGATTTAACTCTCTGGTTCCCTCTTGTGGTGCCAGACACTGCCAGAGTGGGACAAGCTTTTCGGTCGGTGAGAATCCCTGTACCACAAGAATGACCAGGACTTCTTCACTAGAAGTTATTTGTCAGTGTCTTTTTGTGGCCCAGAGTTGTAAATGTGTGTCGTGAGCAGTGGGGCAGGGAAGCTCCAGGAACTGCCTGTGAACAGCAAAGGATTTCTCCTTTTCACGGGTCTTTCCCTGTTCTATTGCACCTTGGAGCTGTTACGATGATACTACTTGGTCCTGGGGAATGCTGCACTGTCATCTGCAGAAATATCCTTAGGTGGGCATTTGGATTACGTGGTAGCCCTCCCTGCTTCCAAATTTAAATGATCACATGGCATATGCTTGAGTACTGCAGAGCCAAGTTTGCACACTTGGACACATAGTGACTTTGGTGCAAGGGGGTATTGTTGTCTTGAAAACGGGGCATATTCTGGATCAGGAGCCAGGGTCAGAGTTGGTTCCTGCTCTTCTCCTTTCTACACGTTGATACCAATTGGGATAAGACTGGCTTTTTGGAGATTTAAGTGAGGAATTTAGGGCTTGTTTTGTGCACAGAATTAATGGTGTTTTGTTCTGTCATGCTCTCACAGGCTTCCAGAGGGCTTCACACAGCTTCGGAGCCTGGGCCATTTGGCTTTGAATGATGTGTCCCTGCAGAGCCTCCCCAGTGACATTGGGAAGTGAGTATGCCCCCGTTCCTCATAACAGGGAGGAGGGTTGGGGTGGGGACACCATGCCGTTGGGGTGGCGACACTAGCA